CGTGTATTGGGAACCAAGTATATGAATAATTCCGCTCAGGGATGGGTGCAGAGGAGCAAGGGTCGAATGTCTAATCTATGTAGGGGGTTATTTGAGTCATGCACCTCTTACCTGATGTCATTATACCGAATGTGTGCAATGACATGCTCTCATTATTCTTGACAGACCATTGGCTCAAGGATGAACCTCTCAAATTCATCATTTCTGTAAACGTCTAAGTTGAAGCTCTCACACTGAATGTGGTAGACATGGTGTTAAATGGAGAATGGAATCTCATATATGCAAGCGTTCCTCCTGCTAGAAATTATTCGACTTATCCTCATCCAACCTAGTTCGTACGAGAATGGGCAAGATGTCATTGATTTGCGACATACTCCAAATGGGAAGTTTTTACTAATCACGGCATATGCGTTGACCGACCAAGAGGAGAAATCATGTAGTTATCACTCGATCTGGAAGGCGGTATGGTGAGTCCCTACTACACAACCCATCTGCACCTTCTTCTGGATTTTGACCCATGATCGTTTGTTGACCATCTACGAAATACATCGTCGACATATTACTACCGCCAGCTCATGCCTAGTTTGCGGTGATGATATGGAGACTTCAATCCATGTTGTGCGAGATCGCTCTTTTGCACGAGCTGTGTGGGCAAACTTTCTTGAAGATGAACCTGATGATGTCTTCTTCCAAGGAGACCAAACCAGACGGGTGATCCATTACCTTTTTGGGCGCTGCGAGAAGATTGCCTCAGCCCTCTTCAATGGGATCTGTTGGTTGTTGTGGAAAATAGGAATGGTAAAGTGCAAGAAAATAAGTTTTCATCGCCAGTTCAGGTCAAGCGCCGAGCGGTTTGTCTGCATCAGCAAGCGTTGAGGTCAAGCCAGATTGTGGGCTTTCGGAAGTCTTGGCACCAAGAGCTTGTTCGGTGGAAAGAGCTTTCGTATGGATGGGTGATGTTGAATTCAGATGGTTCAGTTGTGAATGGTAAGGCGGCAGCAGGAGGAGCAATAAGGGATACAGATGGGAGATTTCTGAAATCTTACTCAGTGAATCTATGTGAGGGCTCCATTACTCATGTTTGAGCTCTCTAGAATTTTCAATGGCCTTCATACAGATTGACATTTTGGGATTTTGACTTGCAAACTGATTATCAAGTAGTAGTGAAGCTGATTTGTGAAGCTGCGGATCGTCTCCCGCACTTTAGTTTGGTCCATATGGCTAGTGATCTTCATTCTCATAAGTGGCAAATTCAGTTGAACCATGACTTTAGGGAACGCAACTTCGTTGATGATTCTCCTGCTTCTCTTGGTCATCATCTTACTTTAGGGGGAGCATCCATTAGAAGCGACATACCCGATTTTGAACTATGGTTGTACTTTGACTTTATTGAGGATGGAAACTACTCGCTTGATTTATCGTTAACATTTGAAGTACCCGTTAGCACTTCATTTTGCAAACCAAAACAAATTAATGACTTAGCTCACATTAGGCATAATCTCTCAAGTGGTTAAGCAATTCAAATGCATGAATTCATTTCAATATGGTGGATAATATTCGCCCTTCCATATTTCTCTCTACCGGTGAAATTTTTTATGTAGAAGATGAAAGGTGAGAATGTTGATGGAGATATGACAATTAATTAGAAAAACAGTCTCCTATCTATAAACACTTTAATATCGCCATTGTTTCCAAAATATGCCGTTACCAAAAATTTCCTTTCAACGTCCAAATGAGGTACGCCCCGATTTGGTCTTTGTCGCCTGAATTCGCCTGAATTCGCCTTTTAACGCTCAATAACTCTCATTTAAGCGCAATTTTTTTTTGGCGCTAACAAATACATTGGGGCATGCACCTGTTTACTTTTTGAAATAATAGATTGGGGATATTTTTGTAATATTTTAAAAATATATTATTTATGGAAAAAAATCCCATACTTACATAATTAGTTGTTATATCAATGATTTGTTTCCTACTGAGATGACATAAAAGAGAGAACAAACATCATAAAAGAATAGGGGCGAAACCACTAGAATCAATAGGGTAGATATTTGTTATGATTTATGAGATGATCACACCAAAAGGCATGCTTATCATTGTTGTTGCTTATTGAGATAAATAAAAGAAATAAAGAACAAGCATCATAAAAGAACGGCGGTGCAATTATTAGAGGTTCGGTTTTTTTTTTTCAAGAAATGTCAAGAAAGATAAACTAAACATCTACCCAAAACCCTCCCAAACCCAGAGGCGGAGCTAGGTGGGGCCTCGCCCCCCCCCCCCCCCCGGAATTTCGACGTTACTTACAAAATCTCGAAGAATAACGGAAAATTACGTATAAACTATATTTTTTGTATAAGTAGACTTGGGTGCAAAATTGATGCAAGATAGTAAGGATGGTCGAGTGGCAGAGATGCAGAGCTTGTTTCATTTGGGCGCAGGTTTGAATCCAACTTGTTGCATATTATCTTTTTATTTTGCTATTCCATAACCTTGAAACTTATCTTTTTTTCTTCCGTTGGTCAACTTGCCATTTTCATAGTGAACTAAACCAATAAAATTATCAATTCTTAAACTCTCATATTATAAGGGTTCCTTTTGATTATAGATTAATTTGTTTACCTTGATATTTAAAGGTATCTTCTGATTATTGAATTAATTTTGTACAAGAATATTAACATACATTCATTTTCATTTATGAAAAAAATTAAACAAAACATGTTACATATTGAAGCGAATTATTAATTTTTTGTTCTTTGTTTAATTGCTCTATTAATATGAATTTAACTTGTTTTAACCATGTCAACTTTCATATTTTCTTTTACAAGTCCTATATTTCAAATAAATTGATCAAATTTTAAATCATTATGTTTAAGTCTTCTTTTGGTTATACAATGAATTTTTTAAAATATAATATTGACGAGTATTCATGTTTTATTTATAAATATACTAAAAAATTTAAACATTTTATTTTTCCATGATGATAAACCAAATATCTCCGGCCCCCCGAGACTCAAATCCTAGCTCCGCCCTGCCCAAACCAATACATCAGAAAAGCCACTCTACAAAGTCGAAGGAACCGATGGGCTTATTGTAGCTTTAGAAATTGAAAACCACTACTGAAAATCGGACCAAACATAGGCAGAACAGAATTAATAGGATGTAGTTGTCAAAAAAAAAATCAATAGGATATAGATATTTGTGATTTTTATTTTTTGGTGCATTATGATTACTTTTGAAGAGACTATTTATTTTTTTACCACTTTAAGTATGTTTAACTTCATGATTCTTGTAAAAAAAATTTCTCAATTTCACCTCGAAATGCTTGTCAATTAATATTGAATGATTCTTTAGAAAATCTAATTTAATCTTTTTCCTTGTCGATATAAAATTTGCTTAAAATATTAAATTAGTGTATAAATTATAAACTATAAAGATCACAAAAAACAATCGACAAAAAAAATCTATAAAAGCAAATCCCTTGTCCACTTCCACTCTTAGCTCTCTGACCCAGCTCCATTGCAGCACACAAAAAATAATAATCCTAAACTAATTTCCCATTTACATAAAAAAAATGCAACAATATTAATGAAGTGTTGAGGAGTATTATTAGTCTGCATAAGTATTTGATGGAAAAGGTAGTAGGCCAGGCCACATGCATTCATCACCCACTTCTTTGTTATTTCTCTAAATTTCTGCTTGCTACTGAATCACGTTGAGAAAAATCTGACATTTTCATGACTGAATTGAAAAATAAAATCAAATTAAATGGAAGCCAATGTTTATCAGGCGCAGCGGGGAAAAAAAACGACAATGTTTATCAAGCATAGACTAGGGTGCTAACCATGGTTCGAAAAGAAGGCTTAACCTTACGCTTAGTCACGCCTAGACGTAAGGCAATGCCAAAATGCCTTGCTTAGAGATTTTGTACTTAATTAGGTGTTGGAAACACTTCAACGGAGTAAGATGACGACTAGTGTCTCCTATGCATTGTTAGATGGAGCTAGATAGTCCATATGAAAGAATGAAAATAACATCATTTACAAAATCAATCTTCTAAATATATAGTGCCCATCCGTTGAGAAAAATCTGACATTTTCATGACTGAATTGAAAAATAAAATCAAATAAAATGGAAGCCAATGTTTATCAGGCACAACAAGAAAAACGACAATGTTTATCAGGCACAGGCTAGAGTGCTAACCATGGTTCGAAAAGGCGGCTTAACCTTACGCCTAGTCACGCCAAGACGTAAGGCCATGGCAAAACACCTTGCTTAGAGATTTTGTGCTTAATTAGGTGCTGGAAACACTTCAATGGAGTAAGGTGATGACTAGTGTCTCCTATGCATTATTAGATGGAGCTAGACAGTCCATATGAAAGAATGTAAATAACATTATTTACAAAATCAATTTTCTATGTCAATATTTTCAATAGCTCAAGAACTTTGTGAGCTATTGAACTATGATCCTATGAATTTGTGAGTTGTTTATTTATCGTTAAGTGTTAAGCAAGTTATTAATCATTTTAACTGAAATGAGAAACCACTGTAAATTTTAGGGATAATACCACTGGAAAACCCAAACTATCAAGAAAGTGTCATTTGTGTCCCGAACTATTCAATATTCCATTTATGTCCCAACATATGATAGTTGTGTGTCATTTATGTCCTGACGATTTCGTTGACCGTTATAGATAAGGGTCGACAAAACGGTAGTCAAATTTAACATTGAATTTTGTTGACATTGCAGCCACGTAGATGTCACATCATTGACACCTCATATTTTTTATTTTAAATATTTTAAATCTAAATTTAAATATTTTTAAGTGACATAGAAAAATAAATAAAATTAGATTTAATCATTTTAAAATAAAAATAATATTAAATATTTCATATCAGATGTCACGTCAACGCTAACTAGATTTTCTGTTAAATGTAAACTCGGTCAACATTAACGGAAAAATAGTTCAGGACATAAATGTCATATTGAATATATAGTTTGGGACACAAGTGACACTTTTTTGATAATTCGGGTTTCCTAGTGGTATTTGCTCTTAATTTTATTTCATAAATCATGTCGTGCAAATAGATATTTTTCTTCCAATACCTAGCACAGTAGCACGCTTAGACTAAAAACGTATGAACACCTTTTGAACCTTGGTGCTAACATCCAATTTACTAAAATTGTGCCAACACAGATTCAGTCAATACTAACATGATTTTTTTATTACAAGAGGTTAACCATAACCATTCAATAAGCGAAATAGTATCCCTCCCCACTTGCCGCTCGGGTAGTCACGGGACAGTGAGATGTATTGAAGCGAGGAATAGAGAACGGCCCTTGTAACACATCGTTGGCAATAATCCTATAGGCTGCCTCCGTGAGATGATGATCGTCCCAATTGATAAACGTCGACGGATCAGCGCAAGCTGTGGTGCCCGGGACTCCACAAAGCAGAGACTCGTTGTAGTTGTACGGCCCTCCCCCTCCACAGCACGCTACCAACGAAGCACTGAACCCTAAAAAAATTCCATCACGACACAACATAATTTAATATCCCCTATTCGTAATAATCCTACTTTTCGTAATGATTTCACGCGTGACGATTCACAACATGTGATCAAGAATTTATTACTCACCTCAATCTCGACCAATTATTATCCGATTTATCCAATCGAGACTTATCGCTTATAAGAAAAGAAAAAATAATCAAATGTACGATTTCAAAGAGGGTACTGTTACGTACCAAATTCGTCAGGGTGTAGATGGAGGCGCATGACTGAGTTATAGTAGTCTGCATACATGATGTTGGCATGGGGATAAACTTTCTGCAACCGAACTACTTCCTCTTGGAGAAGATCGTTGTGGTGTTGGGCAAAATTGTTGAATTGAACAAGGCAACCGGTCAAGGGATCATAGTCTTCTTTGTTAGGGCTCCAGAATTTGGCCAAGTAACCAGCATGGCATCCAAGCGGGAAGTTCCCTGGAACAAGGATTGTTACTGCCCCTAATTCGACCATCTCCTGAGGGAAATTAATTTACTGAAAGTTAGTCTCTTGTTGAAGCAATTCGATCGGTCAATTTTGGATCAATCATTATTTAGTTACCTGGATTGCGTTGCCAATTTCGGCAACGACGTATGGTACTAACTCTGTTATTTGCTCAACGGCAACATTTTCAAAGTATGCTCTGTTGTAATCAATCCCTCCGATTTCTCCCATTATAATTAGAGATTTTCCGAGGTACATCTTACATTCTGCAAAAAGCCACTTGTTAAAATGATGGTTGTAAGAAAATAATGCATAAGATATATTTTTTTTTATGGTTGAATTTCTTATTTATTGTTCTACTGTGAGATAAGAAAGTTTGCCTCACCATTTTATTTTCGTTAAATTTTTTGAAATCACTCCCATGTTTTAAATTTTAACCATCATGAGAAAACATGTTGACTACGTAGGTTATGGTAAAAAATTCAAATATACGTAGATTTACAAAATCTAATTTATTATAACGGACGAATATCCAGAATGGTAGTTGATAAATTTTTTCAATCACACAAATTTTTAGTGTTCAATACCTCATTCGTTTTAATTAAAATTTCCAAAACAATTGAGTAAGAAAAACCACAACAAAAATTACTGTACAAAATGCTTACATTTTGGTATTTTGTGGAGCAAAACAATTTGATGAACTTGCCATTATCATACTATAATATGAAAGTGGTATGATGATACCGCAATCTTACCACTATCATATTATGATATTATAACGATCATAATAAAAAAAATACAATAATTGTATGATGTATTGTGCAGTCTCACAATAGTAGTAAAATAAAGGTATCACAATGATATGATAGCATTAATTTTTAGATATAGCAAAAAAATTGTTCCTTTTACGCATTTTTAAATTTTGAGATAAAAAATAATATGATCCTATTAAAAAACTAGGATTAGAAAAACAAATTCCAAATGGGGTGAATAGACCCATGAGTTTGGACTTTGGACTAGGCAAGAGAAAATTTAGTTTTATGATGAAAAATGAGGGGAAATGTGGACTCGTTATTTTATTGATTATCTAATAATAAGCATGTGCAAACTTTATAAGGAATAAACTACTTTTATCATAGTCATTTGGATTAATTTTTAAAGGAGCATATCTATGTTGCTTTGATTTAAGTTGATTTTAACTCTTTTGCATAAAATAAATGGGATTAATCAAACTCTGCAAGATGACATTCATTCTAGAAAAAATCAATCATACTTTAATGCTCGTTTTACATGAGACGTAACATACATATAAGTCCAACGTAACAGTTTTACGTATAGCATAAAACAGCTTCGAACATAAGGCAATGTTATTTTTCATTCCGTGTCAAATGGAAAGGGGAAAGTAAGCAATCCAAAGTAATATCAGTTAGTTTTGGCGGTTTAATTATTTGTCCAAAATTAATCATTAATTATCTCTTCCATCATAAAAAATGATAAATAAGTAATTGTCTCTTCCATCATAAAAATGATAAATAATTATCTTCTCCTATTCTCCTAATATTGTTCCTAACCCATGTTGAAAGCAAATTACATTCCTAATGCAACTTTAAAAGAGGGAAGGCATTTTATAACATATATTGGAATTTTACAAACAATATAACAACTCATTTATAAATGGTGGATAAGATCTTATTATTATTATTATTATTATAATAATATAAGTAGATAAGATTGTATTGGGAGTTGGAAGAAAGTATTGAGAAAAAACTTAATGCCATGAATAGTATAGATATTAGATACCAGATGGTGAGGAACAGAGTGTGGGCAATAAATTCCTGAATCGTTTGAGTTCATCGCCCAACGACACGTTGGTGTGCGTATTGAAGATCCCTCTCTCCGCAAGGAACCGGAAATCAAGGGCCGTCGCGCCTCCCTCCGCCAAGTTTGCCCCGAACCGGAAGTTGCTGCTCTTCAGCTCTCCCGGAAACGGCGTCAGCAGAGGGAGCCCCAATTTCTCAGCTGATTCAAACCCAAATCCCAAAACAAAAACATTATATTACACACTGAGTTCAATATATATATGCAGAGCAAGGTATAAGAGCTAGCGTTAAGTGATATTACCAATGAAGTCGACGATGAGACGCCCGTTGCAGCAGCGACCAGTCGGGCAACCGAAGTATGTTTCGCCGTTTGGTAGGGAGCAACAGTGAGGGCACTTGCCCAGCAGCATGTGGTTGCCGGTGTCGCTTACGGAGTCGCCAAAGCTGAACAGTGACGTGAAGCATGGTCCGGTCTCACCGCCGACTGCTTCTGCTGTCTCCGCCGACGCGTTTGAATAGTCGGCCGGGGCGGACAGGAGGATCAGCAAGAGAACAACCGGGCTGACCAGAGTATTGATAGTTGTCGGTGTTGCCATTTTCAGTAATAAATAAAAAATTGGGAAGCTGCGGTAAGGAGAATCCAATGATTTTGGGAATTTTGCTACTATGTCTATGGGGCTTTGCATTGCAGGGGGAGAGAGCAGGATTCTTATCGGCTCCCTCTCCGACACCGAAAACAACGCAGGGTCCACACCGAAGTCGACCTTAGCTTAGCTGTCAAACCATTCTCCACCCACCCCTAGACAGATCTGAACCGGCCAGGCGGCCACTTGCCCGCAATAATTTTAGATCTATTGTTTAAATAAATTATATTAAATTTAGATTTTTTTTTTTATCAGAGCGTTTCCCGGAGCGGCATTAATGTAAATTGAGGTGGATGGTCCAGTGGCAGAGGAGGAGGGCAGAGGTAAGTTTTATTTTTATTTTTTAATAGTTGTAAATTGAGGTGGAAATTGTAAATATTTAAATTTTATTATTTTTTTAATGGTCACGTTACTCATTTAACGGTCAATTATAATAGTTGACTGCCACATCAACAAAAACTAACGGAGAGTGACCAAACTTGAACTATTGGACTAATCTTAGTGACCATGAATGAAATTAAATATTTGCAGTGACCAAACATGAACTGTTTTAGTAAACCCAGTGACCATCCTTGCAATTAACCCAATGAGATAGTGAATAAGAGTTCATTTGTGTGACTACAACTATAATATAATCTGGCTTAATGACAAGTTTTGTCACTCGAATTGGTATAAAATACCACGTTTGTCACTCAAATTAATTTATTCCATTCATGATCACTTAAATTAGGGATTTTTCCAATAATAGCACCTATTAAAAAAAATTACAAAAATAGAATCCAGCCCACAAAATTTACAAAACTAGCACCATTTATATCAAACCGCACCTCCAAGGTGCGTTTTATATTTAAACTGCACCCTCCAGGTGCGTTTTATGTATAAATCGCACCTTGGATGTGCGTTTTGCGCCACGTCAGACTGGGAACCGCACCAGGAAGGTGCGGTCTGTGTTTCCTCGGGAGCGGGCTTGAAGACCGCAGGATCCAATGGCGATCCAGCGGCGGACCGCTTGCCACCTCAGCGATCCGCGCCATGGATCGCACACCGCAGCTGCAGGGAGCGGTCAGCGCCTCGGGAAAAGCAGACCGCATCGGGAGGGCGCGGTTTCTGTGAGTGCTAAATTACCAGACCACCCCTGGAGGGTGTGGTCTGAGTAGTAGAAATACCCCCTCCCCCCCTCTCATTTCTTCACACCACAACCAATTCTTCACTCTCTCTCTAAAATTATCTCTCCAACCCCTCCCCTCCCAAAAGCCTAGGAAATAGTGGTCTGTTGGTTGCGGCTAAGTCCGGTCTGCCATCAGAAAACATTTCTTTGGTTTTTCCCTCAAAACCCCCCGACTTTCGCGAGAAAAATGGATGAGTGGTTCCAAGTAGAGGGAGTTTATTATGATGAATTTCAAGCTGTACGTACTCATTATTTTGGTCAATTTTTGTTTTTGTTATAAGTTTTTTAATTAATCTATGTACTAACCTTGTTGTTATTCTCTCGTAGGTTGGGGATGACGTGAATATATACAACCAACGGTACTATTTGGATCAAGGGCCTATTGATCCAACCGACTTGTACGACCAAGCCAACCATCGTTCAAGCGATGTTTTGAACGATCACCCGGTACATATGATTCTTCATCATTTATCTTTCTTTTATTTTGCTAATGTACTTAGTGGAATATAAAATAAATTTGAAATAATTTAATCGTATTGGTTGTTTTCAATAATTTAATCGAATACATAGCGCCACTTACTTCGACTCTTTATAAAGAGATGCACGTCTAAGGAAATGGGGTTTTGAGCTCACGCCACCAAGAATCTTGTTCAGAGGCAAATCTCCACCACCACTTGCAAAGAAGGGCCTGGTTGCGGAAGCTCAAATCTGGAATCCCCAAACCCCCCAAACGTTTAGGCATCTTGCAGCGCTCCCAAGACATCAGGTGAATTTTCCCTTGAATCTGAGTACCTGACCATAAGAAATGTTTCTGAATTTTTTCGAGTTCATCAATCACTGATTTAGGAGCATAAGAATCTTAGTCAGGAAACGTGAGCCAATTTAACGCATTTAATTATTAACTGACTTGAAACTTGGTTTATTCATGGAATGGAGATGTTACAAAGAAGAATACAAAGAGATGACGAAATGGAAGATAGCAGCACGAGTAATCAAAGTCCAATTTACGATCACCTAATGAGCCTCAAGCTGCGGATGCCCCATGAAGTCTTGGGCCACGACTTCTCTTTAGCCTTCATCACCAAAACCCTACCCCAAGCCACCCATCCTTCCCAAGAAACCCTCTTATCCCATGCCGTTCCCCACTCCAGCAGCAGCTTCAGACCCTTCTCCGCCGCCACCTCCGCCGCCTCGAACCGCCCTTTCGCCAAGTAAACCTGCGCCAACACCAGATGCGGATCCCCTAAAAATGGGTTCTTCTCTAGACTCTTGACCAACAACTCCTCCACCTTATCCAACTTATCATCGTTGCAATCATTATTCTGTGAGGCATTTCCACAAACAGCTTCCCAATACGTGTCCCTGGCTATGATTTGGTCGCCTGCATCCACAATTTTCGTGCATCCGTTGAAAATCGGCGGCACCACGAGTTCGATGTCTTCATCTCGTTCTTTGTCCACCGAAATTCCACCAGACCTTCTTCTTTCCTCCATGAAAATCTCTTCTTCTCGAACTAGTAGGTTGTAGATGGCTGCAATTCTTGAAATTAAGTTAACCCATAGCCCTGGCTTTCCTGCCCCTGGCCATAAAGGAGTTGCACTATTGCCCGAGAAGTCTAGTCTACCGTCCAAATTCTCGTACAGCTCGTCCTGTATATTGTTAAAATTATTATATATGTAAAGTTAAACGAATAACGTACGTATTGACAACTAATTAAACGTTATGTATGATATTTTTTTACCAAAATTTCGTCGTTTCAGCTTAAGTTATAATTTTAATTTTCTTTTATGGATATAGCTCAGCCGATTTTGACTATAATCTTAACGACCATGTGGTGGATAATTTGGACATAAACATATTTACTTGAAAGCTGAAGAGCTCGTCCGCGAAATCGGCCAGCGTGAACAACAGCAGAAGCGCCACGATTCTCCGCGGCAGAGTGAACTCTTCTCCAGTCTTTATGTTCTCCACAGTCACGCCGCCTTCCGGCACGATCGAATTCAGCTTCTCCCTCCACGCCTCCGATTCCCCGCCGCCGTCGACAACGATCCGCTCCCTCGCATTTCGCAGCGAGAGTTGGGACGCCGCCAGGTGTTCGACGATTTGCCCCGCCGAGTCATAACCCATCAGGATCCGGCCGAACACCAGCTTCTGCCGCGGAACCGAGCAGAAGAAGTGGACGAGCCGCTCGGCGTCCGGGCCGAGGTGGGCCCGGAGTTGGGCCCTGCTGGACTCGGTGTGAGGGAAGAGCGCGAGGCTGACGTAGGCGTTGGAGTAAGTGGAGTGGAAGAGGCCGCATCGGCAGACGGCTTCAGGGGATCCCCACAGCTTGAGCATTCGATAGGTGCCGTAGAAGCATCATCATTCCTCCTCATCCGGCTTTACATCGACATAATTATCATCATTCCCATCAGAAGCATCATCGAAATAGTCTTCTTCCACTTCTAACCCAGTAGGACTCGGGATCAAACCATAGGTAGAATGAGAGCTTCCACTAGGTCCTGCAGCTTGTTGCTGTTTTATACAGTGATTTAGGATGTGACCAGAAAGCAGAAGCTTTGAACCCAGAGGAGTTGCTCGTGAAATCGGCAATCTCCACTTCTGCACCCTGTCGTCTGCTTTGGTCTCTTCATCGTTGATGGGTGGATCAGCGAGTGCCCATCTGGTCGCCGACGAATAGAGGAATCCAGTAACAAAAACCCAAAAAATTAGCTACCGTAAGAAGAACCCAATAACAAATTGGAGCAATAGAAGAATTGTTCAAACACTCACTTGGATTCCCTAGCGTAAAGACCCCCAAGAGAAAAATTGAAGGGAAACCCTCAAAACCTTATATGTGAACACTGAATCTTTGCGGCCGACAAGGAACAGAGTTCCAGGGGAAGATTCCGATTTGGTGTTGAGAAGGGATGCTTTGTTTCTCGACGTCACCTCTCCTTATCGCGAAGCGAAGAGCGAACAACGAAGTGGTGAAGCGGTGAGGAAGGGATTCCTCTCTGTCAAAGACTGGAACCCTCCAACATAGTGCAAGGAATTTGATGGCGGCGGCCGGCGACGGATTTGATGGCGGTCAGCGGTCCTCAAGAGGCCGCTGGCGGCGAGGACGATGATGGCGACGAGGGAGGCTCTGTTTCGTTAAGTTTGGGTGTTTGGCCAAGACGAAGAGACGGTGACTGCGAGCTTCCTGCGAGAACGAGGTGAAGGCTAGGGTTGCTCTCAAAACGACAGCGTGATGCTTGATCAGCTTTCAGGTTTTCCGGGTTTAAGCAAACCAAAACCGCTGCATTACATAGCGGGTTGAACCTGAAAAAATCCTAAATCGACAAGGTGCATATCAGTTCGGGTTCGGGTTAACCCAAAACCGAACTGACAACCCTAGATGTATGACAAATGGTAGTTGCCGATAAACGTAGATCTTGCATGTTCATGAAAGGGGACGTACGATTTGGATGGTACGCTACAAAGACATGAGCATCTATCTTGAATATCATTTATTTGAGCGAATCACCGTGTTCTGATTTCTAGGCTTATTATTTAGTTTGGGAATCACATTGTAATTAACCAATTCGTGTTAATTGTTGTTAGGGTTGGTTCAACCGTGTGATTAAGGGGGAGAGTGTTTTAGCTAAAACCTTATCAAGAAAATCATCAATAATAGAACAGCTGAGAACTCACGTTCTCTATGGACTAGTCTCGTTCTGACCGAACGGGAAAACCATGTATATCTTCTCTTGTTTTTCGTTTCCGCACTACTGATTTCTACATGGTATCATAGTTGTGAATGGATTCACGCACAACATTCACCATGAGCGGTAAAGAAGAAGGCACTACAAGAAACTGCTCCTTTTGCGACAGATTCTATTGCAACGATGCAAAATTCGTCGCAGAAAGTGAACATTTTGCAACGAATTTTATATTTTCGTCGCAGATTGTGTTAATATTCTGCGGTAGGTGAGGTATAGTATTTTGCGACGGTCGTTTATTTTCCACGACGAATTCTTTCGTCGCAAAACATTTTGGGGACTTTCTGTTCGTGTAGGGGAGCTGTCCGGTTCGGTTACTCGGTTATAACCGAACCGGATGTGTTGTTGCGGTTAGCTCGATGAACTGAGCAACTAACCGATAACCGACCAGTCGGTTTTCGGTTCATCGAGGGAATCTGTCGGTCGGTCGGCGGTAGGGTTAGTTGGCTACTCGATTAACCAATAACCGACTAGTCGGTTATCAGTTATAACCGAAATAACCGAACCTCCAGTCCTAGGTTCAGTTCAATTTTGAGCGTAAACCAAACATGATTAGAAAAATTGATGCAATTTATCTTTAATGAATTAAGTATGACATTCCAAAATAAGAACTCATTTGATGATAAATTATGCACAATAATTCATTTTAAAATGAAATAATTTGTTGATTAATTTGTTTCCATACGTTATGTTAAGAATATCATACTCAAATTAATTCATCTTCAAAGTTTATGTGTGGGGATTTTTTTCTTCGTTTTTTAATCATTACTTATGAAGATTGAAGGACAGTATTCAAAGCATATTATATTACTCACTAAAAGACAAGTTTAACTGATTCAACGGGACACACTATGTACTACGTAGTCCTCAATTGGTGCGTATTAAACTTTATGGTAAATGCTACAACCACTACAACAAATATGGTTGATAATCATCAATGTTTCAAACAAAACGGTGAGCCCACAAACAATTTTATATTTTTATTTATTTTTCTACTGACGAATCAGCTGAGTCTATGACTATGAGCATGTCTATCCTTGATTGCTAAAGTAATACGGGTTATGGATAAGGTCAGTAATGCTCCGGTGCATAATGTTGCATAATAAGATTTATATTTTCCGGTGTCTAGTATTTTAATCAGTTTTTATCTTGTTCGTTCTAAATTGAATTTTAATGTTTTTTTCACACATGAAACGAGTTCGTTGTGTTTTACAAAATTAGATTTATTTTCGAAATATTTCTTCCATACCACTGGTTACCACCTCCATACCATATGGTATTTCCTTCGTTTTTTAGTAGATTTTGAAATTTTTCGCATAGAAAGAACGAGTTTATCATGATCTATTGGATGTACAAATTTCTGTGGGAAACATACAGGACCAAAAAATACAACGCCATACCACCCTGGTATATGGGTGGTACGTATCTTGTGGTTACAATGTTGAAAATCATAAATGACAGTTAGTATATTCCTATTATCACGTAGTTAACCGTTCTACAGTCTGATAAGTTCATACCATCATAATTCATAGTACACTTGCATACCATGTGGTATGTTGTTATGTAATACCAAACAATACTACCATGGTATAGACTAGTACTAAATGTCTCATAATATTTTATTTCAAAAATATATCAAAGTGAATATAATTTTGAATAACACAATTAATGTGATTTATTTTTTTTAAAAAAGTTAAATTCTGACTTACAAACAAAAGAGATATAGCTTATTAAAATTTTCAGGAAAAAAAGATTAGAAGCCTTCCATAAATGATGATGTGACACTAATGTGGCAGGTTACGCATGGTTGTTCACCATAATGTTACTGAGGAGATCCGCTCCCGTAATATGGAGCTTATGTAACAAAGTCTCTAACAATTACTAGTGATATAAGGTTGTTTACTAAATTAGCAAGATTGTCAAATTAGAAAGTCCACTATTAATGTCAAAAATGAGAATTTCTTTCATCTGTTTTCCAGTTGTTTTGTTTCTTTTTATTTTCCACGACAAATTGTAATTTTATATATCATTAATCCCCCCTAATTTATATCATTAATTTTAATTTGTTAATTATTCAAATAATTATATATAGCTAATTAATTAGTGGAATAAAGAAGAAACAAATTTTTTTGTTATAAATTATAAGAAAAATTCCACTAGAACTATAAAGAGTGTCATTTCTATCGTAAATTATTCAATTTGATACTTAAGATATGAACTTTTGGCCTTTTTTTATTTTAAACTGATGCAATTGTCATCAATTCTATATTACACGTTTGATCGATATATGTGATTGTGTTTTCAATAATTAAAAATAAAATTTGTTTCTAATGTAAATATCACTTAGTTTGTATCACTTCTTTTCGATGTAAAAATTAATATTTAAAAGGATAAAATTGGGGGGGGGGGGGAAGAAACAACAAGAAAAAATAAAATACATATGCATTGTGTTTGCATAAAAATAAAGGAACAATTATGCATTACATTGTTAAAAAAAATTATTGTGACAATCTCATTAAAAAAATAGAGGAAAAGAGTTGGAGGCAATCCCTACGGGAACGCCTCCAGCTACTTAATCGATGAACCCGAGCTCGCTCATCGAATTCAAGTACTCGGATGGATTTTAATATATTTTCGTGGAATTGCAGGGGTACGGGGAGCAAGTACCCCTTCCTGCAAGTATTCCAAGAGTATAAGCGTAAGTATTGGCCGCACATGGCCATCATAGTTGAACATGTTACAACAATGCAAGTTATTGATAAGATGGGGTTAGACCAATATTTGGTGGTCGATGCTGTTGTATCCTTCTAAATTGGTGACCCATTAACAATGTTCAGGTTCAGACGGTATATATGAATGGAAGTCAGAAAAAGCAACTAGGTATTTAATTTAATTTAATTTCCTGCTCTTTTCTACCTTGAAGCTTTCTCTTAAAATAACAAATCAGTTTTGTTGTTTTCTTAGGAGTGTTGCCCTGATGAGTTAGAGTAGTACTGTCTTAGGAAAAAATCCCAAAATACTCTACCTATTAAAAAAAATTCCTCAAATAAAATACTTATAAAATTTTTTCCCAAAATACAGCAGTTTCAGCATCACTGTCTTTGTCCAAGACAGTGATGAAGATCACCGTTTTGGTCCAAAACGGTGATAGTATCACCGCTTTAAACAACAACAGTGATGCTATCACCGTTTTTGTCCAAAACGGTGAAGCTATCATCGCCCTAAACAAACGCGGTGATAGCTTGACCGTTGATGAGAAAAACGGTGAAGCTTTATCACCGTTGATATTTAAAACGGTGAAGTTGGCGCGGATCGCTGACGTGGCGAGGAGCGAAGACTTCACCGCGTAAGACGAAAGCGGTGAAAGCCCCGCCCCGCCACGTCAGCCATCCGCGCCATCCGCGCCCTTCACCGCTGCCGTTCGATGCGGTGAGGCGCGGATTGTGGTTTTTCTCCACGATCCGACGCCTCACGCCTCGCCACGTCAGCCATCCGCGCATCATCGCCTTTGACTAACGCGGTGTTGTCACTGCGGCCGATGAAAGCGGTAATTGGCCGCCATAAATTCCAGCGTCCCCTTCCCCTCCCTTCCCCCCTATAAATACCACTCCCCCCCCCCTCATTCCAAACCACACCACCAAATTTTATACTTCTTTCTCCCTCCAACTTCACTCTAGTTTCGTTCTAAGTATGCTCTGTGGTTGCGGCTAAGTCCGATCTTCCGCATCAGAAAGAATTACTAGAGTTTTTGTTTTTTGTCGATACTCTCGCTAGCTTTTCGGCAAAAAATGGACGAAGAGGCTTTGAGAGTACGTAAATTTATTTTATTCTTTTGTGCTTTTTTTACATGGGTGCTAAAATTTAAATTGATTTGATTTCATATTTTTTTATAGATGGGTGCTGAGATATACGACCCTAGATTGTATATCGATCCTGGCCCAAGGGATCCAAGGTATTTAACCGGGCAAGATCAACATCGCTCCCGTTCAATTTGGAACAATAATCCGGTAGACACACTAAAATTATTTCAATAGTTTTACCGTTTTTATTTTTTTTTTCTATTGACTGACAATATTGTGTTTTTTGTTTTGTAGGAATCACTTATTCCCATCAGTCATCGAGGGACATGTCGATTGCCCCGTTGGAATGATCGACTGCAGCCCTATCTAGAGAGGACGGGATTGCACATGCTGAGGCACTTTATGAGGCTTGATATTGACAATGATCTGCTGACGGCAATGGCTGAGCGATGGCGCCCCGAGCTGCATACCTTCCACTTTCCCGAGGGTGAAATGACGATCACCCTCAAAGATGTTGCCATCCTCACTGGGCTCCCGATCACTGGAGATGCCATCATCGACAACTCGAGAAAACCAGAAGATGGTTGGGGGCCATTGATTCAACAACGTTTGGGGTTCAACATGCCGACCACCACGCCCGTCGAAGGTCAGGGGCATCCACCACTGAATGCGGGGCAAGTATCGATCCCGTGGCTTGTTGACCACATCCAGATGGAGGTTAATATAGGCCCGGATACTCCTGAAGATCAGGTGGAGCGGTATGCACGTGTCTACCTAATTGCCTTGGTTGGTGGGTTTCTGTTCCCCGACAAGTCAAACCGGTGGATACAAGGCATGTGGTTAAATATGTCCTCGGTGACTGGGACGAGATCGGGCAAAAAAGCTGGGGGTCGGCCGTCTTGGCTGGGATCTACCGCGAGTTGTGTACTTGCTCGAAGTTGGGAGCGAAACAAGCTGGTGGTGCGATGTTCATACTCCAGCTCTGGGCATGGGAGCATCTTCCGTTTCTCGCACCTCGAGACCCTCGGGAATTCTGGTTGCCAGATGATGAGCTACGATTTGTAGCAAATCCCCCATATGGTTTCAAGTAAGGTCAATTTAAGTTGAATTTATTTTAGATATGCAATGGTAGCTAGTTAGGTGAATTTAGATCTATTCCAAGTAAGCGAATTTAGTGACATTTTAAGTATGCAATTATAGTATTTTAGTGAACTAAGCTAGTGAACTATCTAAGCGAATTTAGTGACATTTTAAGTATGCAATTATATTATTTTAGTGAATTTAGATATCTTCCAAGTAAGCTGATTTATTCTAACCAAATCGTATTTAGCTTATTTAGATTATTGCCAAGTAAGGAATTTTAGTTCAATTTAGATGCTTCCATACAATCATACTTAACAAGTAAACATCTATGCTTTAAAAATTGCTTATGTACGTACTTTTGATTAATTAGGTGGATCGGAGCAAATACAAACGACCACCAGCCCGAGCACTCTTTACTGTTTTATCGTGCTGAATTTGATAAGCTTTGGTGGAACCAGGTAAAAATATAAAATTTAATGATTTTCAATTTTTTAGGTGGAGTGGATATAATTTTTATTAATTCCATGACTATAATGATTGTAGGCGGTATGGGATCCATATCCAAATGAAGTGGTTGAGTTGCATCGTCTTAGACATCCTGAGGATGAAGAGACATGGTTGTGCAAGGTGCCCTTAATCTGCTGGCACATGGTGGAATGGCACCTGCCCGATCGATCTTTGAGGCAATATCGATAATAGCTATTGAATGACCAGCACGCTCCCTCCCTATAGCAGCATCCCGTCTCTTCACAAACCACTCGTTTACCTTCCAGTATGTCATCTCCACTAGGACAGATACAGGCATTGCCCTAATGCCCTTGTAGACTCCATTTATGCTCTCCCCATGGTTGGTAGTTGCAATTCCGAATCTAGCCCCGTTGTCCATGTGAAATGTCCACATGTGCAGATCTTGACCTTCTGCCCATACTGCTCCCGCCCGGTGTATTTGACGGATCGTCTTCATCTTCTGCTCGTACTTTTTTGGTTGATGTGCAACCGCTACAAGACCGGAGAATTAATAATTAATCCATAAGAAATTTCATTTGAACAATAAACCATGAACAAGCACTGAATTACATTATTACCTGCACTCCACAATTGATCTCTTATGTCTTTCTTCTTGCCAAATTTGTGTTGGAAATTGGCTAGGAAGTGACGAATACAACAACGCCATGTCCATCCCCATTCGTCCGGGAAACCACGGACGGCGTGTTTAATCCCGGCATGTCGATCCGATATAATTTTAATACCCATTCTTTGTGTGACGTGGGCGTGTAGCTGGTCAAAGAACCATGCCCAAATTAGGTTGTTCTCCCCTTCAACTAATGCAAATGCTAAGGGAAAAATACTTAAATTTCCATCAACCCCAGTGGCAATAAGAAGAGTTCCTTTATACTTCCCAGTAAGGAAAGTTCCATCAACCTGTTAAAATGAATAATGAGTTAGTAAAAATTGAAATTAGTAAAGTAATGAAATAGTACAATATTTTGAGTCCGTAATGTACCTGAATCAATGGCATGTAGAAGGGAAACCCGTCAATGCATGGCTTGAATGTCCAGAACAGACGATGAAACATCAACTCGTTCTATACTCGAACTTGATCTTCAGTTTCTACGTTGTTGTACCAAGGCACGAAAACCGTCCCAGGGTTGGACTCCTCCATTGCGGACATTAGTCTGGGAGTAAAGCATACGAGTCATCCCAATCATCGTAGACATCAGCCATGGCCTTCTGCTTCCCATGCCACGCCTTCTTATACCTTATGGTGTAGGAGTGTCGATCCTTCACCTCCGCCATGATAGCTTTTATCTTGATATCTGGTTGTGCCTCAATAAGGTTCTTAATGGTTCTTGCCACTTTTTTTGCTTTCAGTTGCCGGTGATCCTGTGAAAGTATGGTTGAGGAGCAACTGTGGTTGTTCTCTACTGTCCGCATGACCCAGACCCCCTTTCTCTTCATATATGCAGCACGAAGTTGCCACATACAACCCTCTCCAGCATTCTTACAAATGACATGTAGTTATCCCTTGTCAGAATATTTTACCTTCCATTCGAAATTACGCCGCATGGCTTCTTCGCTAAAAGCGTCTTGCACATCGGCTTTCGAAGTGAACGCCATACCCACTTCCAAATTAGCAGTCGGATTATACACAGGCATGGGCCGAAAGTCAGAGGCATCGTTCTGACCATATAAAAATTGATCAGGAACCTCTGTGTAGTAAGGCGTTGGTGCCTGTCGGAACGCCACCTCACTGTCATCGATATCGTCGTTATCGTCCGTATCTTCATCCTCACTGACTGATCTCAAATCTTCCTCACTTTCATCGTCACTGGAGGCGAATGGATAGCTCGGCGAAGGATGGTCATCGTTACCAGCATAACCAGCATCGCCTTCTTGGTCATGCAAAGTACGCCCAGATCGAAGGGTGTTTTCGATGTCACCCCACTCTTGACCCCAAGCAGGCCATTGATCACCGTAGGGCTGAACGATATCGACGGCAGTCTCACCACCATGTGGCAGGTATTCTTCCCACCCAACACCTCCTTCAGAACTACCTCCTCCGTAGTTGCTTGAAGTACCTCCCCAACCATACCCTCCTGCAGAAGTACCTGCTCCGTAGTTACTTGAACTACCACCCCAGCCATACCCTCCTGCAAAACCATCATCATAAGAATACTGGTGAGAATGAGTTTCACCGACCGGCTCGGTCTCGACATACACCTCTGCAAGCCGCAACCCGTTCTCAGATATGAACTGTATCATCATGTTCACCGCGTCATCATCATTTATGACAACTTTTTCGTACATGACTCCGTCAGCACTCATATTGGGATACCGGTAAGTAATTTGACGAACTCTCCTTTGCCCGCCCGTACAAGTCCTTTCCGCACACTTGTCATGGAGTTCTTGCCACGAGAATCTCGACTCAATTTTAAGCATATTGGATTCGCCATTTTCATAGTCGATCCCCATGTTCGAGTTTGTCACCCGACCATTCCACCGAATAATAAGCCGAAACTTCTTAAATTTACCCATGTCTGCAATTTATAATAATTAAGTATAGTATACAATTAGTACATTATGGATACAAAAACAAAACAAACCCATAATAAAATGCAACTAATTGATCTATTATGAGAAAACTAAACAAATTAATCTAATTCAGTACTAACTAACTAACATCTACATATCATAATTAATCTAAATATATCATAACATATTTTCCAATAACCGCGATTCACTAATTACAGACATATTCATACTAACAGCTCAACATGTAAAAAATACATACTTATAACATACTCAATCCCGATCTATCATGAGAAAACTAAACAAATTAATCTAAATTCAGTACTAACTAACTAACATCTATCATATCATAATTAATCTATATATATAAACAAATTAATGTAAACAATACAGAATTCTAACATACCGAATCCCGACGAGTTTCTTGAGCAGTAAACCAACTCCAAACCAGCTGAGAAACCGACTAAAAAAATAGGGTTTGTTGTATTTGGTTGCTGTAAGGCAGCAGCAGGAAGGAAGTGGGCTTTGGAATTTATAGGAAAAAATGGCTGCTAATCACCGCTTTGGACAATGGCGGTGAACACATCATCGTTGTTGTCCAAAGCGGTGATAGCTAGGTCGCTGTGACCTAATTTTTCCACCTACCAGGGTTCTAAAACGTGGTCAATTATCACCGTTTTTGTCCACCGCGATGTTATCACCGTTTCCCATAAACGCGGTGAAGCGATCGATTATCACCGTTTTTGTGAAAGGCGGGGATGTAATCACTGTTATGGTCCAAAGCGGTGAAGCTATCACTGTTGTGGTCCGAGGCGGTGAAGCAATCACTGTTGTGGTCGAAGGCGGTGATGTTATCCCCGCTGTTCTCAAAAGCGGTGATACCTTCCCCGTTTTGGATTAAAGCGGTGATCTTCATCACTGTCTTTGTCAAAGACAGTGATGCTGAAACTGCTGTATTTTGGAAAAAAAGTTTATAAGTATTGTATTTGAGGAATTTTTTTAATAGGTAGAGCATTTTGGGATTTTTTCCACTGTCTTACACTTAAAAAGGACATGCACTCTTAAAAAAAGAAGAAAAAAAAAGGACATGCACGTTTCCCATGCATGCAAAAGATAGTACAACCGGACCAAGCTTGGCTCGTGTGCTCAACTATATAAAGCTGGCAGATCCCCCATTGTTTCCTCACACCAAAAGTGCAAAAATTAATCGCTAGTCACTAATATCCTCTAGCTAGTTAGCAAAAGCTTCACCTAAGTGAGTCACAAGAGCAAAATGGGCAGCATCGCCACCAACTGGAAGAAGCTGAGCGGTGTGTTGACACCTAAAATTAATTCGGCCTGAATTAAATGCTGCATTAATTAGTCTCGGCATTTAATTCGATATCGTGGGTAAAAAACGGCGTCGTGTGAAGTCGAGCGGTGTCGCGGAGAGTTAAAACGATACCGCGGAACAAAAAACGGTACCGCAAGGAAGCTCAGCGGTACCGCGGCACTGGAAATAAAACCGTTTACTGAAAAATAAAAGGGGCCGCGCGTTTTAGTGTTGGTGTCGGGGAGGGAGTTTTTGTTTATAATTAATTAATATTTTTATTCCTTGTTGGAAGGGGAAAATCGGTACCGCATGGAGATAAGCGGTATCGCGGAGAGTTAAAACGGTACCGCGGATTTAAAAACGATGCCGCGAGAGCCTGGTAAGCATTACTGATTAACTAAAAATCATATCGGGTAAGTGACCAAAATTCACCCAGCCCAATGCGAGCGCCGACTGGCGGCGGCTCCATGGATTAATATTTTTTGGGCTATATCAGCGGTGTCATTTAATTCAAAACAATACCGCGAGTAAGCCCAACGGTACCGCGGATTAGCAAATGACAGTGTTTAAATAAAAAACAATGTCGCGAAGGGAAAGGCAAACGGAGCCGTTTTGGAGCTAATGATGTCGTTGGTCAACACACGAGTTTGACTAGTGATGACCGGATTAATTAACTAATATTGTTAATGATTATGTAGGACGGTGTCGTTTACTTGAAAACGATGCCGCAAGAGGAAAGAAACGACACCGCAGATTATAAAACAATACCGCGAGTAGGCCAAACGATGCCGCAACAGTTAAAACGACAGTGTTAAAATTAAAACATTGTCACGAAGTTCAAAAGCTCAACGACATCGCGGGACAAGGAAACGATGTTGTTTAACTAAGAACGACGCCGAGGGGTGAGAGTTTGACGGCGAGTTAACAATGAGGGCTGGTTTAATTAATTAGTACTTTATGATTATTTTAGACGGTGTCATTTAATGAAAAGCGATGCCGCGGAAAAGTAAAACGACATCGCGGTAGTGGTAAGAGTTCTGCCAAAGGCAGCCCGCCAAGCCCAACGACGGCGCAAGACTAGAGAACGACGTTGTTTGATAGACTAACAATTTCGTTGGTTAAACCGAGCTAGGGCAGTTGAGTTGGATTATAAAACGTCATCGGTTAGTGAAAGGCGAGGCCGTGGTATTGGTGAAACAACATCGTTACATAAACAAGGTTGTAGGATTTGGCTCAACGTCGTTTCGCCAAGTTTCTGCGAATGGTTTCGAGGGCAAGTGATTATCACGCAACAAGGAGGAAGTTACCTGCACGGTTGACAGGAATGAAGACGTGGGAGACAAAGGCGCAAAAGCGGTTACCACGACTACGGGCAGAGGGTGGTAGTATAAACATCAGTAAGAGAGAGAAGCTCGAGACGGAAAAATCAAATCTCAAACTGCACCGTCGCAGAATTATCAGTTTTTCTCTCTAGTTTTCGTAGAACCGCACTGTCAAAGAACTCCTTTGCAGAGTCGTAGTCGTAGCTTGTAGTCGTAGTCGCGGGGCTCTCCAGAGGAACCTCCATAGGAGTAGCGGTAACGTAACTTAGAACACACCTGGTTCGATTTATTGGTTATTCGCCGAACACACTCGTTCGAACGTAGTTTGGAGAGGTGGTGAATCGAATAACGGTTGTTTGATTAGAAGTCAAAGGTGTATCGATCAAATCAACATCGCCGACGCCGGCGGTAGATATTTGACAGTCGTCTTGGTTTCTGTTTAATCGATCAAATTAACGGCGCCGACTTCGGCGGCGGATATTTGACGGTTGTGATTGACGGTGTGTTTTGTGCTTACTTGAATACAGTGCGCATTGAACACGCGAGTTTCGCCAACGAAACACGGTGAGAACAACTGGGATGGGCTGTTGGAGCCATTCGACGCTGACCTCCGGCGGTACCTCATCCACTACGGGGAGCGGCTGCTATCCGTTCACGATGCCTTCAACGGGGAAACCCTGTCCACTGCCTACGGGCTCAGCCGGTACCCTCCGGAAAATTTCTCCTCCCATGTCTTCCTCCAGAACGGGAAGCCGTACAAGTACCAGATCACCAACTTCTTCTACACCTACTAGGTAACTCCGGATTTACCTCTGGGCGACTGGGTCCTCGCCGGAAAGTCTGCGTGGATCAGGTACGTGGCGGTGAGCACGGAGGAAGGGAAGTCGGTTTTGGGGAGGAGGGACATCCTGGTCTGCTGGAGGGGCACTGAGACCAAACTGGAGTGGTTCGCAGATGCGGATTTCTGAGCAATTCCGGTCGGCCAATTTTATGGGACTACCCATAATCCCAAGGTTCATGAGGGGTTCTTTGGTGTCTATACTCACAACAACCCTGATTCTACCTACAACAAGAATAGTGCCAGGGAACAGGTAATTAACGAACCTTTTCTTCTTTGGGTGTTTTTATCTGTTTAAACCATTTACGCGCTGACCAGATACAACACAACTAATAATTTAACAGAGCTTAATATTACCATTATGACTTGACACTCGTACGTAGTGTTACATATTGTATTGTACCTACTTTTTCATCATTGATTGTTGTGTAATGTGGTCACCCGCCCGTCAATATTTGATATGCAATAACCCAAAAGTTAAACGTAAATTGCTTCTGGACTCTAGTCTTATACTTACTACTGCCAAAAAAATTAAAAAGTTTCAATACCCTATGGTCTCTCTCTCTATCCAACCTAATTTGCTTCATGTACATACAGGTCCTGGCAGAGGTGAAAAGGCTGGTGGACAAATACTGTAAAGGATGTATGTTACTTAGCGTGTAGTCGGGTAGGGCTTTAAGGGTTTAAGTGTCTTTTCCCTTTCTAGCCGAGTGTGCTTTTACTATAACCCTAGTTGATTGTGAATAGGGTTATATATATATGTAACATGTAACCGGCAGCCGCTAAGTAAGTAAGAAGCTGAGATAGCAGAACTTCTCCGTGGAGTAAGCTCATTCACATCGAATGAGAAGAACCACGTAAATCTCGTGTTGTGTGTGTGTTAATCGCGTTCACGATTCTGATAGCAGAACTTCTCCGTGGAGTAAGCTCATTCACATCGAATGAGAAGAACCACGTAAATCTCGTGTTGTGTGTGTGTTAATCGCGTTCACGATTCTTTCAAATACCGCGACGAGGAAACGAGCATAACCGTGGTGGGACACAGCTTGGGCGCCGCTCTTGCAACCCTAAACGCGGCGGACATCGTGGCCAACAACTACCACAAACCAACGGATTCGAACGTCGGTTGCCTGGTCACGGCCTTTGCCTATGCTAGCCCACTTGTAGGCAACTCGGGCTTCTACAACATGTTCAACGCACTGACGGACCTTCGACTACTCCGGGTCAGGAACTTCTTCGACCCGGTCCCCTCCCTCCCGCCCAAGATATTTGGGTTCGTCGAGGTCGGGAAGGAGATTTTCATCGTCATTGTGTCACCTTACTGTAAATCACTTCTCGACAACCCACACAACTTGGAGCTCTACATGCATGGAGTTGCGGGGTGGAACGGAATCATGCCGTTTAAGCTCATGGTGGAGCGAGACATCGCGTTGCTGAACAAAGGAGGGGATCTTCTCCTGGAAAAGCACAAAGTGCCGCCCAAATGGTGGAACGTGAAGAATAAGGCAATGTACCAGCTGGATGACGGGTCGTGGGATCTCCGTGACTACATGCCTCCTCCTCCAAAGGCTGTCGTCCTCATATAAATCAATTTCTCAGAGGCTGTTGGTCGTGTGATGACGAATGTTGGTAGCCGCGAAGGGTTGAGCGTAATTACATCCTCCTAATCCTTATGGCGATCATGGGTCTAGTATAATAATTGGAGGATGTTAGTAAGTAATTTGGATTATGGTATTTACTAATAAATAAGTGAGCATGTGATCGATCAAATGGACACCATCGGTGGAAGAAGCTTTGGTTGGTTTTGTTCTACTTTTCTCTTTTACTTGTTCTTTGGGATAAGTTGTGTTGTGTTGTTTTAAGTTTCGACTTTTTCCCCTTTTTCTTCAATGTATCCGAAGGGACTTTGTGTAAGTTTCCGGAAGGAAAAGACTAAGAAGTGTGGTCAATCAGTTTGTTGTCGTTTGTGTAAAGCTAGCCTATGTATCCGGTTCCTATAAATATATGGTAAAACTGGTGTAATCCTGTAGTATATTATACTCCAGGTACTTTTAACGAAATATTACTATCTAGACCAAGAATTAAACCGAGTTTTGGGCATGATACTATACCCTGACCTCTAATAGATAAACCCAGACCTTTATTTGTTAAACTCAAACCCGATGTTCAACTTAATATAGAAAATATTAATTGACCGTTACGATTGGTCGGAGTTCAAAACAGGAGATCTATCGGTCATATCACGTGGAGTACTATGGTATACTTCTGGAGTATACCAATCATTAGCGAGTTCTACGGTATCCCGGGTGAAATTTGCGGTACCGCATACCTTGAGTATGAAAACGTTATTCAAACCTTGAATTGGTTGATCTTTTGGACGTGATACTATACTCTAACCTTTAAAGATCAAAATATAGGTCTTAGTTCTCTAAATCTTATACCCCAAGATCAATTTAATTAGAAATAATAATCGACGGCTATGATTCATCCAAATATAGGCATTAAAACGAATCCTCCATCTTAGGGTTTATAGTTAATGATTTAGATAATTAGGACCTATGGTTCACTCATTAAGGGTTAGAGTATAGTATCGAGCCCAAAAATTCTGCTAATTCGATGTCTAGATAGTGTTTTCATACTCAATGTATGCATTACCATGGATTTCACTCGGGGTACCGTAGAAGCCACCGTATATATATATACTAGGTAGTGATGTCGCCTTGTCATGTGACGGAGATGTCCTATGGGCTATGGGCCTATATTACGGCCCGTTCTGGTGCTTTATCATGAACTAATTATTTCGATCGTTTTGGATTTGGCTCTCACCCATCTCTCTTCTATCCTTCGTTTCTTTTTTATCCCCAGATACATTCTTTTACTTTCTGCTCTGCTCAAATCCCTTTACCTCACCCGTCTCTCTTCTACGTCACTATCTCCCTTAGATTCTTAACTAAAAATTAAGAGAACTTACCTCTACTAATCACATACACCTTCTCTCCCATCTCTTCCTCTCTTTCTTTTCAGCAATATATCACACCATTGTGGCCTTAAAGCTATCAGTGATGAGAATAAATGTTGGGCTTTGGGGTTAATGCTTTATGTGCTTTTGTTCAATTATTAAGGGTTGTATTAGTTGTTTACGTTGTTACTGCATGGGCTTAGTAAGTCCAATTGGGAGTCCTCTAGGTTAGGCCTCTAGGTTAGGTGGCCGAGTTTAGCTAGGTAAGTAGAGTTAAGGTTAGTTAGGGTTACGTATTAGGTTTAGACGCCTATATATTGTAATCACATCATTAGTTCGAGATATCAATCAAATAAATCAAAGGTTTATAGACACCAACGTCTTTCTCTCGCTTGTGAGTTACAAGCAAAACCCTTGAATCGTGGGTTACGGTTCATCAATTGGTATCAGAGCCTGGTTACGCATCCTACTGGGAAAGGTAACATGGTTCTTGATCTAGGCCCGTACCGCGCTCTAGCGCGGAATGCAAAGATGGCACTCCAGCAAACCAAGGTCGCTTGTGCGCAGCTAGCAAAGTCGCGTGAAAGGTTCACGGCATTCTGCCGAGAACGAGAGCTGAACGCCTACCGCGCAATCGTCTCCGGAGGAGAGCGCAACGACTACGTGACCCGCGTCGACGCCAACGAAACCAGGGTGACGGAGGAGAAGATGGACAATGAGCTAGAAGAGCGGAAGAGCATGACGATGACGACAACGGAGCCCGGAGCCAAAGCAGATGTTGGAAGCGAGAAATTTCCCGGATGGCTCGAGAGACCACCATCAACGCGGCGTCCGCTCACGGGAAGTTTGGACTTGTGTCATCCGATAATGGGATTGCAGCAGCCGGTACTTGAATCTCCAAATAAGTGTCCAAGGTTAAAGTTTTCTTGGGATCAAGATGCTGTACGGGGTGGGAGACCCTCAAACACCTTTCTATTTGGTCCACATGCTAGAGTTCATACCGTAGGGATTTTTGTGCATGTTGGTGCTCAAACGGCCGCGCGGGGAGTTCTCGCTGATAGGAGGAAGAAGACTAGAGGACGGAGTGCGAGCTGGAAATTTCGAAAACGATTTAAGTCTCGAAGTCGTCACAAGAGCTGCGGTTGCTTCCGTCGTCGACCACCGCGTCTCGGCATTGAACCGAACCTTGGGGACCAAGGTTCTTTGAGGGGGAAGGATTGATGAGAATAAATGTTGGGCTTTGGGGTTAATGCTTTATGTGCTTTTGTTCAATTATTAAGGGTTGTATTAGTTGTTTACGTTGTTACTGCATGGGCTTAGTAAGTCCAATTGGGAGTCCTCTAGGTTAGGCCTCTAGGTTAGGTGGCCAAGTTTAGCTAGGTAAGTAGAGTTAAGGTTAGTTAGGGTTACGTATTAGGTTTAGACGCCTATATATTGTAATCACATCATTAGTTCGAGATATCAATCAAATAAATCAAAGGTTTATAGACACCAACGTCTTTCTCTCGCTTGTGAGTTACAAGCAAAACCCTTGAATCGTGGGTTACGGTTCATCAATTGGTATCAGAGCCTGGTTACGCATCCTACTGGGAAAGGTAACATGGTTCTTGATCTAGGCCCGTACCGCGCTCTAGCGCGGAATGCAAAGATGGCACTCCAGCAAACCAAGGTCGCTTGTGCGCAGCTAGCAAAGTCGAGTGAAAGGTTCACGGCATTCTGCCGAGAACGAGAGCTGAACGCCTACCGCGCAATCGTCTCCGGAGGAGAGCGCAACGACTACGTGACCCGCGTCGACGCCAACGAAACCAGGGTGACGGAGGAGAAGATGGACAATGAGCTAGAAGGGCAGAAGAGCATGACGATGACGACAACGGAGCCCGGAGCCAAAGCAGATGTTGGAAGCGAGAAATTTCCCGGATGGCTCGAGAGACCACCATCAACGCGGCGTCCGCTCACGGGAAGTTTGGACTTGTGTCATCCGATAATGAGATTGCAGCAGCCGGTACTTGAATCTCCAAATAAGTGTCCAAGGTTAAAGTTTTCTTGGGATCAAGATGCTGTACGGGGTGGGAGACCCTCAAACACCTTTCTATTTGGTCCACATGCTAGAGTTCATACCGTAGGGATTTTTGTGCATGTTGGTGCTCAAACGGCCGCGCGGGGAGTTCTCGCTGATAGGAGGAAGAAGACTAGAGGACGGAGTGCGAGCTGGAAATTTCGAGGCTCTGATACCAATTGATGAACCGTAACCCACGATTCAAGGGTTTTGCTTGTAACTCACAAGCGAGAGAAAGACGTTGGTGTCTATAAACCTTTGATTTATTTGATTGATATCTCGAACTAATGTTGTGATTACAATATATAGGCGTCTAAACCTAATACGTAACCCTAACTAACCTTAACTCTACTTACCTAGCTAAACTCGGCCACCTAACCTAGAGGCCTAACCTAGAGGACTCCCAATTGGACTTACTAAGCCCATGCAGTAACAACGTAAACAACTAATACAACCCTTAATAATTGAACAAAAGCACATAAAGCATTAACCCCAAAGCCCAACATTTATTCTCATCAATCCTTCCCCCTCAAAGAACCTTGGTCCCCAAGGTTCGGTTCAATGCCGAGACGCGGTGGTCGACGACGGAAGCAACCGCAGCTCTTGTGACGACTTCGAGACTTAAATCGTTTTCGAAATTTCCAGCTCGCACTCCGTCCTCTAGTCTTCTTCCTCCTATCAGCGAGAACTCCCCGCGCGGCCGTTTGAGCACCAACATGCACAAAAATCCCTACGGTATGAACTCTAGCATGTGGACCAAATAGAAAGGTGTTTGAGGGTCTCCCACCCCGTACAGCATCTTGATCCCTAGAAAACTTTAACCTTGGACACTTATTTGGAGATTCAAGTACCGGCTGCTGCAATCCCATTATCGGATGACACAAGTCCAAACTTCCCGTGAGCGGACGCCGCGTTGATGGTGGTCTCTCGAGCCATCCGGGAAATTTCTCGCTTCCAACATCTGCTTTGGCTCCGGGCTCCGTTGTCGTCATCGTCATGCTCTTCCGCCCTTCTAGCTCATTGTCCATCTTCTCCTCCGTCACCCTGGTTTCGTTGGCGTCGACGCGGGTCACGTAGTCGTTGCGCTCTCCTCCGGAGACGATTGCGCGGTAGGCGTTCAGCTCTCGTTCTCGGCAGAATGCCGTGAACCTTTCACGCGACTTTGCTAGCTGCGCACAAGCGACCTTGGTTTGCTGGAGTGCCATCTTTGCATTCCGCGCTAGAGCGCGGTACGGGCCTAGATCAAGAACCATGTTACCTTTCCCAGTAGGATGCGTAACCAGGCTCTGATACCAATTGATGAACCGTAACCCACGATTCAAGGGTTTTGCTTGTAACTCACAAGCGAGAGAAAGACGTTGGTGTCTATAAACCTTTGATTTATTTGATTGATATCTCGAACTAATGCCCTGATTACAATATATAGGCGTCTAAACCTAATACGTAACCCTAACTAACCTTAACTCTACTTACCTAGCTAAACTCGGCCACCTAACCTAGAGGCCTAACCTAGAGGACTCCCAATTGGACTTACTAAGCCCATGCAGTAACAACGTAAACAACTAATACAA